AAAAAAAATTTATCTAACATTAGCTAATTCACCTTGTGTGTTTATTCTCTCTAGTTCTTAGCATCCTGGACCTAGTAAATTTATGCTAATATTTATTTATGTACGTATTTAAATAATATATTTATCAATTACTTTTAATATTAATTATACTACTATTTATTAAATAGGAACTGATTTCATAATCCTGTTGGGGTATTTCATTTTCTTTCCATGGAATTAGTTTATGTAGTGAATTGGAAGGTGGTGGTGTCTTCAATTCTATCTGCTTATCTGTTAAGTGGAGGGTTGGCATTGTCCCTGCTTCCTAGCCAGTGACTTCCACCTCCTTATCACCACAGACACATTGAGTGTGAGTGAAATGATGATGAATTTGGGTCATTCATTAAAATGCAGCTTTTACTCCTGTGATTTGAGCAAAGTGAATGGAGAAGAGATTCAGGTGGACTAGAGTCCCAGAGTAGCTGAGATTCATGGTGGAGTTACTATGAGAGGTGGGGGTTGTGTGTCCCCTACAGTCCCCTCACTCCTTCTGTCGGTCATTGGCACACATGCTATAACTAGTCTGCTCTCCTCTGTAACCTCACTATTCTTCACCTGACAGGGGGAGTTGTTTACTTATTTAGTCACTTTCCAGCTACTTCTAGGCTTTATCCAAGCCAGCTGTCACAATACTGCCATAAAGACTTTACTCTGTTAGATCTGGCTTATGTGGGTCTGGATGTGGCATCTGATGGCACTTGTGTCAGAGGCCAGTAACATCTTGGGCACTTGCAAGGATCTATATGTTAATAGGTATTTGTCCTTCTTTAACCTTATTTATTCATCTGTCTTATGGGGGAAAATATGTTCTCTTATAGTTTTGGTTGGGTGTTTTGGTTGTGACTAGTTTACTGAATGTTTGAGCGTGGCTTGTGGAACCCAAAAATCCCAATAAAGCTGTAGTATTGAAAGGGGACTGTACCTAGAATCCAGAAAGCTGTTGGGACAATTTCTGTTGGTTTCTATATAGCTGCTTTATCAGTGTCTCAAAAGAAAGCTGTTTCCTTTCCCATTCAGTGATTGGGAAATGATTTTCTAGCTACTTAGAGTGTGTATTTTAACAGGAAAGAGATGATTTTGCCTAGGTTTCATGCCAAAATTCCCAGTAAAGACTCTTAGTGACCCATCTTGGACCACGGAGCACAGAGCTGTGGTGGATGAAGAGGAATATATAAAATGCACATCTGGCTCCCTGGAGCGGAAGGCTTCAGTAACCAGACAAGGGAGAAGTCTTCCGTTCCATGGCTGTTTCATGAAGCACCCAATTTTTAGCCTTTAACTATTCATTTGACATATATTACATATATTAAAGACTGTCTACTGAACATGACACATTAGTCAGGGTTATGGTGGTAGAGACATGAACAAGAAAATAAATCCCTACTTCCAAGGCCTTGACCATGTTCCTGTCTTGATGCATTTCTAATCTGCAGTAGACAAACTTAGTGCTTGTCCATATATCTATTCTTATTTCTCTTTCTTTCCTTCACTTCGGTTTCTTTTGCAATAGATATTTATTGAACTCTCACTATCAGATGATACAGACTGTGCTGATTTTTAGGGGGGAGTTGTAAGCATACACTATGATGCTGTATGGGGTATTTTCAAAATGCATTAACTCAGGGTTCATCTAATGAGCCTGAATCTGAAACCTTCATCATAATGTGCTTTGCCAAATATGGTATAGTTTTTCCATTAGGCAAACCGTTTCCAACAAATTTGCATTATTTTGAAAATAATAAGTTTGTCTCTAACCCAGGGTTGGGTCAAAATCAGGTCATCAATGTAAAAGAGAGTTAACTAAGTTTTGGGGCAGAGAGGCTATAGCTACTGCTATCTGGACTAGAGGTCCAGGACTGATCTTACTGTAGTTTGGGAAGGTGAGCTGGCCTGAGGCATGATAGCTACCTGGGAGACACTTTAATTTAGTTATATCATCATTAATTGTTTGTGTCAATATACCACCCACCGCCCAAAAAATGTATTATCCAGCATTTAAATTTGTATTTGGAAAAACTGTATTTTCAATTATTTGTTTATAAGGGCTGTTTTTGTTGTTCCATAATTTTCTCCTCTTCAAATACAATTATGTTTTTGTTTTTTTCTAATCCACACATTCAATCCAAAAGCAGTTTTTCAGAGTTTTCTTTGGAGATGTTTCTTATGTCCATGTTCCCCCCCTTCTCCATTTAATACTTGCTTTTATCATCTTGTTTCGAGATAACAGTATTAATTTCCTGATTTCCTTATCTATAAATTCTTTTCTCTTTGTTCTTTCTGTACTTCACATCCAGGTACATTTCTTATCTCTTAGAAAACTGTAACTTCATATGACCTTCAGGATGAAGCTCAAGCCCTTTGCCTTACATGTAAATCACCCAAAGTTTGGCCAGTCACACTCTCTCTCTTTCTCTCTCTCTCCTTCTATTTTTGCTCTTTTCTACTCTTCCCAATCTGGACCTTCAGTGATGGTTTGTTTTCAATTATCTACATGTGCCTTTGCTTAAACTCCTTTCGCCATTACTCAGGATGTCTCCTCTTACCTAGTACCTAACACTAACCTTATCCATACTTTAAAGATCTTGTTTCAATTCTCAAACTCTTTTCTCATCAGTTCCCCATCCAAGCATCAAGAGGCTGCTGACCTCTGACCAAGCCTACTCTTAGTTACTTGGTCATAAACTATGGTGCACTGGTAACCATAGTTACACTGGTTAACATTTTTGACAAAAGGAGCCAGATCTTTTGTTTTTGTGTTCTCAGAATTATGAAACAAGTGATTTCAACTGTGTTTGCCCATTAGTTTCATTTAAGGACCTTTACAAGATAAAACAAGTTGGCATCTGAGGGGCTTGGACCAGGAACTAGTTAATTGTGAGCGTGCCCTTGGTGCTGATGAGGTGCAGTTGGGGTAGCGAGCCACCAAATGAACATAATCCTGCAAGGAATTACTTTGACCTACACATGAGTATGGGTTTCAGTTCTCTGTGCTTATTACTGCATCTCTGCCTGGAGAATTCAAAGCCATCCTTTATAAGAGTTGAGTAAAAATGACATATTCAACCAGCAAATATGAGTGCCCATTATGTGCCAGGCACTGTTCTGGGTGCTGAGGTCACCACAGTGAACAAAACATGCCCTACTCCCTGGAGCTTCAGCTCTTGGCTATGGAAGACAGACCATAAATAAATAACACCAGGTAATGATGATAAATGTTGTGGAGAAAAACAAAGTGGGTTAAGTGCGCAGAGAAAAAAGCAGTCCTTTTATACAGGCTGGTTTCAAAAATATTCCCTATCTGCCTAAATAGCAAAGCTCTTTTTCTCAGAGCCACAGTGCAGTGGGAGCCAGCCAGAGTTGAAATGAGGCCCCCTTTCTCTGCCACCACTTTTCATTAAGCGGAGAGCAGAGTCCTGTGCTGTGTTATAGGAGGAACCCCTGAGAAGGTAGCTGTAGGGGAGTAGGTGAGAATCTGAGACTGGGATCCAGTAAATGGGGAGCCCCCAGTAATGGTGGGGAGCCACCAGGGCACTGTGGATGGTCCCTGGTCCTGTGACCAGGTGAGCAGTATTCAGAACAGTGTGTCAGTTCCTATAGCAAGTCCTACATTGAAGTTGTTACCCCTCCTAAGATAAGGCTGACAGTAAGCTTGTTACCAATTTTCAAAGATGCCAAATAGCCAAAATTTTCTCTTTCCAAGTGTTGCTTTATGGGGATGAGTACTTTTCATAGTTGTGAAGTAGAGGTTTACTGAAATGACATGCCGGCTTATTAAGTAGTACCAACATCTATTTCTTGGAGAGGTGGAAGACATGACAAATATTAGAGCCACTGAGTATTTAAGGAAACTTCATATGTAGGGCACTTATTTTCTTGTGATACTTAACTTCACACGCTCCTCCCTGAAAATCTGTAAAGACGGGAGTTGTAGTTGGAAATGTAGTTAAATTTTTTTGTGTGTGTATGTACCTGTACATACATACATAGCTTTCATAACAGCTATATCATTATTCTATATGCTGACACCTGCTTAAGTGAAGGTTCTCACGGAGGTTTAGCTCAGCAAGAGAAGCTTGACTATAGGAATAAAATTTAAATATTTTATTTAAATAAACTAAATAAAAATTTAAAGGAGATGAACCTGCATGTATGTCCTAACAACACATAAATAACTCCAGCACTAGAAAAGACTGGATGTTAAAGTTCTTGCACCCAGGTTTCCAGGCACAGCTGGGGAGAAAAGCAGCTGGTTCTTTACACGGAGGCTTGTGGATTTCATTTTTAGAGCAATGAGATGTTTTCCCCATCCCTTTCGGCGGTGACCGAATGCAAGGCACACCCCTTTTGCTGTCATCTCTTGGCTCCCAAACACAATCAAAGCGGAGAAAACCTAATCCCAGAGCACAATCCCCGGGCCTGGAGGGGGCGCGCCACCTGGGAGAAGGAGCTGAGGACCTGTCCTCTGCGCCTCCACTCGCACTCCCGGCGCCCCGCCCTCGCCGCCCCTGCAGGTGGCAGCACTGTCCCTCTCTGTCCCTGCCTGCCCTCCAGCCAGCACGCCGCGGCGGCGGGGAGCGAGAGGCAGCGCGAGCGGAGCGTGTGCGGCAGAGGGGCCGGGGCGGAGGCAGGCGGCGGGGCTCTTGCTGGCAAGGCTCCCTCCACCCGCACCAGGGACCTGCGGGGCAGGGGGCGGAGCGCAGGAGGGGGCGGGGAGGAGCTGGAGCAGCTGCGGTGGCGGGTCTCCAGGGGGAGCCAAGGTACATAGGCGGGCCCAGCAGCGCCCAGAGCATCCTTCCAGGCTGGTCCCCGCCCGCCCTCCTGCAGTCCGTGCTTGCTGCCTCTTTCCAGGCGTGACTTCTTTGTGTTTTGTTTTCTGTCTGTGCCTCTTCTCCTCAGGACCTGTTCGTTCTTCTTCAGGCTACAAGAAGGCAGATGATGAGATGTCCCGGGCCACGTCTGTTGGAGACCAGCTGGAGGCACCAGCCCGCACCATTTACCTCAACCAAACGCATCTCAACAAATTCCGTGACAACCATATCAGGTAGGAGATGGCAACTGAAAGATGCCAGACTCAGTTGAGTCACCGCTGGGATGGGGCTTCTGGTAGCATTTCCACGCACCCAGCCAGCTGCCCCTTTCCCCGCCCCCGGCCTATCTGCTTTCTCCAGCCCCTTCTAATTTCCTCTCCCCTCCCCCTCCTCCTCCCCTAAGATCCTTAGAGTTTATACCAGCGCTTCCAATTGGTTTATGTGAACAGAGCACTTACCTTTCTCTCCTTAGTATCAATTCTGTGTCTAGGCTGTGAGCTCCGAGGAAGTTTGTATTCTTAATGTCCCTGACAAAAATGAGATCTTTTACCTTTTCATCCCTGGACTCCTCTCAGGAGTCCCCCAGTCCTATTCTAAGCCAATTGATAGCTGTCTTTAGCAATTTGCAGACATGATGTGGGGAAATTATTATAAAGGAATCCCTTAGGTCACAAGGACTTGCATTGAGTTCCAAATGGTCCAACATATTTAAGAGGTCTTTATTCAATGGGAAACTTTCCCCACAGTTATTAAAGAGAAAGACTATCAGAACCTAGCATTTAGCATTTTGCTGGCTACTGTGTCAGGTGCTTCCATTATATTAGCTTTATTAATCCTCATAACCTCTTGAAGAAAGTATTACTCTTAGGTAAGGGAACTGAGATAGATAGGTGTTAAATAATGTACCTGTGATCATATGTTACTAAATAACATAGCTGGAAAGAAAACTCAGTGTGTCTGACCGGGTATTTTTTTTTTTTTCCTGCTGTGTAAAGCTAGACTTTTCACTTTGGGTGTATTTTCACATTTTATTAAACTTTCAGGCTTAGACAACTTTACATCTGGGAGTGACTTCCGAGCATGTAATTCTGTGAGTTGCTCAGAATATAGCACTTGGGTGTGCTACTAAGTGATGGATCAGGTTACACAGATTATTGACAAACCTGAATTCTAATCCAGAATTCTTTCTAGAAAGTACCAGCTAAAACGGTGTGTTTTATATTTAAGTATTCTACTACAGCATGACTACTTATACAGACTGCTTAGCCTCACCCGTTTATTTAAAAATGTCTGGCTCTTGAGCAATATCATGCTTGATAAGATTTGAAGTAGAATAATGGTGTATATTATGTGAAGGTGAGAATTTCATTTATTAAAGGATATTTAGGTTATTATAGTTTTATCTTAAGTTAAAAATAATCATTGGAACTTATTTTATGCTTAAAAGTATAGCTCAGAGAAATAACATATTGTTCAAGAATGAGTGGACTTGGTTTAAAATAGAGTATCAGCTATATGAATTAGCACTTCACATAGTAGGCCAGGTCTAATGAAAAAGATAGCAGCAAATTAGTGTGGAGGTATCTAAATTAAAACCTTCACACATTGCTGATGGAAATGAAAAATTATTACAGCTCCTTTGGAAAGCTGGCAGTTCTGTAAAAGGTTAAACGTAAAGTTACCATATGACCTAGCAATTCTATTCCTAGCCCTATAGATTTCCCTGTTCTTTTCCCTAGAGAAATGAAAACATATGTCTGTAAATGAACTGGTATGCAAATGTTGATAGCAACATTATTCATTATGACTAAAAAATACAAACAACCCAAAATGTCAACTGACGAATGAATAAAATGTGATATACCCATAGGTTGGAGTATTATTTGGACATACAAAGGAATGCAATACTGATACACATTGTAGTATGGATGAACCTTGCAAATGTTTACATTAAATGAGAGAACTTGGTAACAAAAGACCTTATGTTACAGGAATACATTTATGTGGATTATCAGGAAGAGGTAAATCTATTGAGACATAGACTAGTATTCCTGAGGCTGAGATAGGGGAAAGAAGCTGGGAGTGACTGCTGAGTGCTGGGGATTTCATTTTGAGATGATGATGGTTGCACAATTCTATGAATATATTTAAGACTGTTTAGAACCCTCCAATGCCATTGTCATTCCATATCTTTATTCATGTTTCAAATGACTTATTTTTGAAAGGAAAAAACTTGTTTATAAAAGGATTGATAGTGGTTAAGGACATGGAATTGGAAAGTTACTTTTTCTTTTAAACTTTGGGATATTTTCCAGTAGTATTTTTGTTTTGTTCCTATGATTTTCTTTAACTTTGGTATCCATTAAAACATGCGTTAAGCTGGGAGAATAGCGGTTTTATTTTTTATCTAATTTTCTAGTTTTCAAAGAAGGTGAAGAATTTCCAGAGCTGTAGTAATGGGGCATTCTACCCATCCCCTAATTATACTTAAAGCTGACTTTTCACATTGATTTTATTGTGAATCAGAAATTTCAGGTAGCTACTTACACAATTTCATTTAGACTTTTTTGGGGTAGGGAAAATAAGTATGGACATATGCAGAGGGTTGGCTAGGGATAAAATTGGTAGATACCATTATTTTATTTAAAGTGTTGTTTAAGTGTGTAAAAGAGTTAGTTGAGATGTATATTAGATATTAAAATTCATAGTTTCTGAGTTCATGACATACTGTTAGCTTATCTTTTAGAACACAGTGACTAGGTCTAAGGAAGTCAAATGTGGCCCTTGCTGTTCTATAAAATGCTATTTGATTATTTGTTTCGCCTTGACTGCATATTTAAAATGGAATTACTAATGGTAATATGTCTTGTAGTTAGATAAGGAATTGATTACAAAGCTTTTTGGCAGTATATTTAAAAGTTCTGCAAGATAGTGAGCCACACTGTATTGGTACCTTTATATTGCTGAAGTCAATTTTTTTAAATAAAAATATTGCTTAAAAAATAAGACTTTTTGTCTTGGCAATAAACGTTTGCAAAAAGTTGATTAAAGCTATTCAAAGGAAAACATCATAAAATGTAGTTGACAATATATTTCTTTATCTTAACACATTCTTTCTTGAGAAAAGGTTAGTTTCTTGAGAAATAACTTCCTGGAGGCAGGAACATGGCGTGTTTATCCCACACTGTTGCTTCAAAACCGAGAGCCATGTAGGGGAGAGGAGACTCTTGCTAGCCCACAGAAGCAGGAATGTCTGGTGTACTTGTGTGCTGTCCACCCTTCTCAGAAGGCGGCCATGGCCCTCTCTTACCTGCCCCACACGAAGCCCTCACTGGCTTGGAACCTTGCTCATTATGGCAGTTGCTCTCTAACTGCCCACTTGGGCAACTGGCATTTTGACTTCAGGAAAGGGATTAGAGTCTCTAAGGAGGGAGGTAGTTGTCAGGTGTCAGGGGAGGTTGGGGAGTGATGGTGTGTTCACTCAGGACAGGGATTGAAGATTTAAGGTTAATGTTTAGACTGGTGTATCAAGATAGAGGCATGGCCTGGCACATCAGCATGAGGTGGTCACCGTAGGTTGACTGTGTGACATGGTGATTCCAAATTCCTAGAAATTTTGGGAGGGTTGTGCCATATAGACAGCTGCTCTCCAAACCTTCTTGTTCTTAACACTGAAAAGTAACACCAGTGTTCAACCTGAAGCTATGATGGGTTTGTTGAAATTATTTATCATGGCAGCCAATGAATTTGGATTATCGTAGTTACAGGGAATTATGTATGACTTTTTCTCCTAGGTATTGATTTTCTAGGGCCTTCACTGTGACCATCCTCTAGACACGAATAGTAACTCATGGAATAGTGCAATATGTGTATATAAATTTATGTATATATTGACCCTAATAAGATCTTTTTTCTAAGTGTATAATCACATTAAAAATTTAAATAGTCTAATATCCCACATATGTACAGTGTATAATTCAGTTGTTTTTAGTGCTTTCACAGTTGTACAACCATCTTCATAGTCAATTTTGGAACATTTCCATCACAGATGAAATAATATATCCTTTATTTATCATCTACCTCTTTCTTCCTTCCCCCCAAACCTTAAGCTGACCACTAATCTACTTTATTTTGGACATTTTAAATGAATGTCATGATAATCTTTCAAATTTTTTTTAAGTTGAAATTTACATGCGTATAGAAAGCTTGGGATGAATCTTTAATTTTCAAAAGTAAAGGATATTTTGATTCACAAACACTGTGTATCAAAATTTTCAAAAGTACTTAATATGGTCTCTTTTCATTAACACATTTTGAAATAATTTACTTATCAAGAAATGAGAAATTTCATGTAATCAAGATTAGGTTTATACAGTCCTCTTTTGTGATTATCATCATAGCATTTGAAACAATTTCAAAGCTATGAGGCAGTTTTCTTGAGTATTTGAAATGAAACCTTCAAAGCAAGTTAGAAATGTTTAGATACTGAGTTTTAAATGAGTCACTCATTTCAGGTGGAAGTTTTAGCCAGCAAAGTTCTTCATTCAAGCAATAACTTGAGCTTTGTCAAGAAATTGCATTTCTTTTTTGGTTTTCAAGGGAAATTTAAAAAAAATAAATATTTTATTGATTTTGCCAAGGTAAGTTTAAAATAGAAAAATAACTTGAGCACTGTGTGATAGTGTCTACAGTATTATAATTTCATATTATGTGGGATCCTTAAGAAATGAAGTTTTGCAATGAAGGTAGTGATAGAATTATATATTGTTATATCACCATATTTAATACTAGATCTATATCACAAAGTTCTGCAAGGATGAATGATTTACTACATGTTTAAAGTTGAGGAATTTAGGTAAGGTGTAGTCTTAAGTCTGAAGCTGTTTACAATTTACCAAGCAATACCAAGAACTTACAAAGAATCATAATGTCCTTTGATTGATTTATCATTATTTTAAATCCAGGGTTATAAATCTGTAAAAAAAAAAAACTTGAAACAACTATCCTTGTCAAATTTGGCAAAAGTATATGAAAATCCTTATCAAGGGTCATTGAATGTATTGAAGATATTCCAAATATTAAACAGACCCAAGATATTCTTCCATGTAGGCTGCTTTTATATTTATATATTTTAGAAAATGACATGTATTTACGTTATATAACATGATGAGTTGATATGCAGATGGCGAAATGATTACTATAGTCAAACTAATTAACACACATTTCTGACACA